TTAATAAGTAAGACATAAATTTCATATACGTCTTACCAGAATGAATTCATTTTTGAAAAAACATTGTAATTGCATACCAATTTTTATATGAATTATCTGTCATTTTTCGGTAAAAGTATGAACTACTTGTATAAAACACCTTGTATTAAATTTTCTAGCCTTAGCTATACACATTTAATATTTTATAAGTTTTGAACTTCAAAATAACTGTGGTTTTGACGAAATTTGAACTTTAAATGCTTATAAAAAAAAACCATGATGTATCGTTTATATTTTAGCTATAATAAAAACTTACGCATTACATTTTTAAGCTCTTTGATCAGATAAATAATTGTTTATTGACATTTATAGAAAAAAAAAAAATGTTAATTAATCAAATACAATCCAAGTGAGGACGGTATAAACACAGAATAGATATTTAATCTATTCTGTGGTATAACCAAGCGGGTTACCAAATAATTTTAATAAATTTTCATTTTTTTTTCTCTAATTATTTTAAAAAGCACTGAGCATTTTCAATTTTGATCTCCTAAAAGTACCAACTAGATCCAATTTGCTTCCAAAAACATACACCGGGCATCAAAGCTTATGATCAGAGCATTTCTACTACCAGAAAAGTTGAAAAGTTACAAACATTTTAAAATACCTAAAATAGATGTCTGAAATTATTAGACTGGACAAAATAAAAATTACTAATTTTCAAGCCTTCCCGCCTCCATTGAAAAATCCTGCGTACGCCACTGTTAAAGATTTACATGCAGTAAATATCTAACAAAAAAAATTATAAATATAATACCATAAATATCACAGTATTCGCCTTCATAAAGAGTTCCGAAACAATCACAAGACAATTGATTATAATGGTTAATACATAAACTACCTTTAAAACAAATATTTTCTTCAGTTTTACATCTGGAATTGGTGTTTAAAGTGATTAGTGTACACATAACTTGTATTTTAAGCATCAATAATTTACTCTTAAATGATTATAAAATAAACCGTACTTATCTATGCAGCCCTCTTGTACATTGTCGTGTTTAGTAGCAATTAACGGTTTGATGGGTAATAAATCCGAAGCAGCTTTTCCAGCACTCAAAACCATTTCTTTTATGCAGCCAACAAATGATTCAATAATATACTTCACACCATGTAGTTTTTCCTCTGGGCTCAAACCTAAATTAATTATACAGAAATTCAAAATATAATATTAGGTATTAAAAATAATAAATAGACACCTAAATAGATACCATCGAACAACTAGGGGCAAAAAGATACTTCGGTTTTTCCGTATCAACAAAAGTTATTATAATTTACACTTAATCTATATTCAAAATTAACATTTTCTCCAAATAATATATACATATGTGTATGGTATACAAAGAATATTTAACTTTAATTACAAAAAAATTGGTAACTATTCAATAGCAGCAATTTAGTCTAAAAGTTAATATTCAGCTAGTAAAGCTATTTTATAGTTCTGTCTTCTAGTTTGTTAATCCCGGAGAGTCCACCCTTGACCCTTATGTGAATGAATTGAACAGTTCTCCACAATATAAAAGTAGTTTAGAAATTCTTCATTTCAAGTATGAACATTTTATAACTTAACTTGTAATATATAATTATATTATACATATCTAAATGTTTGCCCTGTGATAGCCCTTAATAATGAAGAATTTGATTTTAAATAATGGTTGTATGACTGCCCTCCTCCATTCATTGAATATGACACTATTTAGGGTAACTTGAGGAAGTCACAAAATTAAAATAAGAAGTTTGAAAAGATCCATGATATTTATTTAGATTTGATATATTCTTAAAAAAATAATCAAAACACAGATGTTGTAGCTTGGAAGAATTAGATAGTAAGGTATATTTCTTTCTCAATAATTTCCAATTAAATTTGAAACTGCCCCAACTCCCAAGTAATGTTTGAGTGTTTGATTGTACCTATAATGCAATATTATATAAACAAAGTTACTGCTATACAATAGCTATACCATTAATTTATAACAATTTATTTTTGTTTTGGATAAATATTCTTTAAAACTTAATTAAACGTAATTTGTTTCTGAATTATGTCAATAGAGTAAGGAAAATTAAATTCATTTTAATATAACAAAATTACAATAATTTACATAATGTTCATACCACCAATTAAAACGACAGATGTTAAGTCAGTAGATATCCCATAATTACTAGACTTGTGTAATCCTTGTATTATTTTTTCTGCACTTATATTATCTACTTTTGCTATAAGTCTAGCTCCATGTACATCTATACGTACAGTTACAGTGTGCCAAATATCATGATTCAATCCTAAAATGTAAAACAAAACCTTATAAAATTACAATAATACCTTACCTAGACAAAAAATTATCTTTAAATACTATTGTTTAGTTTTTAGTAATTAATAATTATACAATTGAAAAAAATATAAGAATTTCCACCCTGCCAAATAAAGAAATCAATTTTTGAATTCACAGCTAAGCCTTCCTAATAATATATAATAATATTTTAGTAGTTATAATAATATTATAGTACCTATATATTATATTCTATAAGCCTGATGTGAGTATACTTTTAATTTTAAAATTATATTTGTTAGTGCCTGTTTTATGTATTTATCAAGTCTCTAAGGTTATTTTATGTAAATATGTTCTAAATTAATATAAAATATAATCAACATGCATTGCCTTAAAATAGTTCTATAGCAAATATCAAGGTCTCTTCTAAAAAAAAAAGTCAAGTTTATTTTCTGAAATGATAATTTTATTAACAATTGATTCTCTTTTACATTTTTAGAGTAAATGACTCAAAATATAAGAAAAATGCTTAACATTTTAACCTCGCGAGTGGTTACAAGAGTAATTGTACTACACGTAAGATCCAATTTTTGTTTAGTCCAGTTATCAGTTACCTATGTTCGACATAAATTTTTGTCCATTATTTTTTAAGTCCAATGTACTTTTAATTTTTATCTATTATTTCATAAGTGTAGTCTTAAGAAAACCAAATGAAAAAGAACGACACATTTATTGTACATTAAGTTTGTTATTACAAATGAAATGTTGATAACAAAATCCATTGTTTATAATATAAATTATGAGCAATGAATTTATTGTAATAAACATGTACTTATTAGATTTAATTATTCATGGCATAATATGTAATCACATAGATTTTAAGATGAAAATATTATTTCTAAAGAAATAATTATACTAAGAACAATACTTTAAAATACACATACCAATAAAATTCTATAATTGAAACCATGGTAATCAAAATTTTCCCAAATAATAGTTTTTTTAAACTGAGTGTTTTGGATGAAAAATATATTAAACTATAGCGTGTTCTGGTCTTTACTTTATAGCCTATAGGACAAAAAGATTGGACTAACATAGTTGAACTAAACATTATCTAGACCTTATGAATTTACTAAAAATCGGCCAACTTCTCAAATACTTGTTTGAATATAACCTACCATTTTGAAAGGCTTTTTCTGTAAATATGTACAATGTATATAGATTTTATAATCTTATAAGTTATAACTTATAGCTTAATGACTACTTATAACTTATGTTTAATTATAAAAATTTCTTTATTTTTTAAAGTGTTTTCAGACTCAAAATATCTTTTGAAGATTTATTTTATCGATTATAGTTACAATAACTACATTTTCTTAATACATTTTATATAAAATCTCTTACTCACCTTCTCCGACTATTACAGAGGTTGAATGTTTACCATAGACGTGCACTACTTTAAGTTGTCCCTTTTCAACAATGACATACAAAGCATAGGGAGGAAGACCCGTTGGTCTATCTTTTACACTATGATAAACAAGTAATCCATGCGGTAAACGTGTACGAAATTGGAATGAAATTTCTCGACAAAGCCTATTTTAATCAAATGATTAGAAATTTTAAGAATAATAATATTATGATGTTGACAAATTTTACCTTAATTGAAAGGTAGGAATACGATTGCCATCAAGCTGTATAAACGCATTGTTTTCAGCCATCATAAATACAGTATAATGACCGGATTCAGAAAATGTAAGTTCTGCACCTCTATCGCTTGGAGCGATTGGTGCCAATGTAGATGAACCATATTCATATTTTTGTTCAACCGGTTCTGAGACAAAGTATGTATTATTATGGTCTAAGAAAAATTAAAAGGTTAAATATTTGGGTAAGCTAAAAATATGTACTAAGTTTACTTTTAGCACCAACACAGTAATACAAACATTCTGCCTCAGAATCAAATATATTTTCACTTTTACAAATACCACTTATGTAAGTCCTACATTGGTGTAAAATAGAATCATAGTACCATTTATGTATCCAATTTTGACATGGACCACGCATAATTGGGATTTCACATCTTTCTATTTTCAAAATATGAACATTAATTAAAATGTATAAATTATATATTATTATTAATAAGTAAAAAAAATAATAGTATACCCTTGAAATTCTCCAGTGCTTTTACATTAAATACAGTTAAAATAAGATAAACGGTTATAAAAAAATTTTGCATTTTTCACTCAAATATTAACATCATCACACAGATGTTAAAAGTAAGATATATATTTTATGAGTATTAGTAAAGTTATTTTAAACCAGCTTAGAACTACATCATGTAGTTTTAAAAAGGAAACTGTAGACTACATAGAACATTCACAATAGAATAATAACCCATTCAATTAGATGGTCAATTGAATTCAATTTTTCAGTGACTCACAGCTCTTAATGGAACAATAAATTATTTAAATAATAAAAAAAATACAATATTATTATAGGATATATTTTATATATTATTATAATTATGTCAATACATTAATATAAATCACCCAAAATATTTGTTTGTTAAAAATTTTAATCTACAGAGAAACTGAAATACAGACATTATATTAAAATAATTTTGAATACAGGTTTAACATAATTCATCAGCTTAAACATATTATTATATATTATGATTCTTATTATTATTAACCTAACTTATGATATCTGAAAAAGGAACTGACAGATGTTACATAACATAAACATAGAATTATCATAAGGTGTCGGAAAAACAATACATTCAATTGGTGACTGACAAACAGATGAATGTTCAGCAACTGTATTTTCCATATTATTTTTTAACGCATCAATTCCAAGGAATGTCTGAATGGATGTATGGCATACATCACAAGAAATTGTATTGACAGTTGATTTTATGAGGTTGCCTGTGCGGCAGACAGGACATTCAATTGAACTATTGTGTAAATGCTGTAAATATACATTATAATCGATATCTTGTTCACATATCCATTTCACTAAAATATAAATACACACATTTGTAAAGTAAAACATACTAGCATGAAAATATAATTTTACTATGTTCAATACGTACTTTCTTCATCTAAAATTTCCTGTTTAATTTCATCAAATATTTTATCTTCTTCGTCCAGAGAATGAAATCCATCATCTTCATCCACATCAATTCTTGTTATACAGATAAATATAAAAAATAAATAAATTTTATTACACATTAAAGCATTTTTAATATTATTTAATAATATCCTATAGTATTAGAGTAGATATAGCTAATAATGTATAGCAAGGGTGGCCACAACAAGGCTCTTAAATCAGTTTCATGTGGCTCTTGAAACCAAGCTTAGAGTAAAATTAATTGATATAATTCTGTTAGATTCTGTAGGTGTGTCAGGTGTTTAAAAAAGCCCCTAAGGCTTATACCTGTGGGGCAGATTGGATCAGGCAATTGGTATATTTTCGAACATAATTCAAACTACTCTCTAAATTTTTCTGATATGTTTAAGAACAATATCTGACATTTTTTTTTTCTTATATTGGAACAGTAGTTTTTGGGTCTATAAGCTACAAACATATGGACATTGTTTTTTGTTGTATATTTGTCATTTGAATATCAAACAATTATATAAATACTATTTTCTTTTATTTAAAAACAACCCAATAGCAACACATATTGGGTCGGCTGGTTTGTAAAATTTTTTTAAATATTATTTCTTTAACCAATAATAACCTTTTGTATATAAAAAAAATTATTTTACTATTGTGGACCAAAACAAAATCCATGTGTGAGCTACCTTATAGCAAATTATATGGGCTGAAAATTGAAACAAAGAACAATCCTCCAAATCTCATATGTGTGCAAAGTTTGGTGCCAATCAGTTCAGTAGTTCCAAATCTATAAGCCCCATACAAATGTACATTAATTTGTATATATATAGAGATTAGTAGTGTTGGGTAAATTACTTTTAAAAAGTAATAAAGTTACTTTACTCGTCACTCAAATAAAATTGTAATTAAATTACTTTACTTTTCAAATAACAAAGTAACTGTTACTTCCTTGTTACAAAAGTGGAATTTCTGAGCAGTTTATTGTCATTCTACAAGCAACCTAACTAGAAATACAATATAGTAAAAAGGTATAATAAGGTGCAATCATTTCTAACACTCAGTGCTCGAATTGGAAATATAATAGAAGGGGTGCTAAAGGACTTTTAAAAATTTAGCGTTCCACTCAATGATTTAAACCAAACTAACCTTAATACTGCGGGTATCAAGTAGGTATATTAGACATTTATAGACATATTTTATAATGTTATTATTATTTTTCAATTTGAAATATGTACCAAGTATCACGAAACTGTAACGCATTATAGGTACTAGAAATTACTTATCAAAAGTAATTTTATTTACTTTGAAATAATTCTAATGAAATTAAGTAACGTTACTAGTTAATACCCAACACTGGAGGTGAGTAAAGCAAGGAAGATGATAATGACAAGAGGAACATCAAAATGAATAATTCATGGTGTCAAATGGTCACACCTTTGGTTCGCCATGGTTCTCTAATTTATCAAATATTCTCCATAAGGTCCTAACTCAAATAGGTTTTAAAACTATACAATTACATACATTTATGTGACTACAGAATTGTCAAGACTGACTTCTAACAGTGTCAACTGTAACTAGGTAGTTTAAAATGATAAATATAAATATAATACAAAATATAATTACACATACATTACCTATTCAGATATTAAAGAAATAATCTTACTTTATGCATGTCTTGTCAATAAACGAAGTGACCTCATTTTCTCGCATTTCATACGCAACATTGCGAACTTTTTCTAAAAGAGACTCTCGTTTGTTCTTAATGATACTTTTATACCTCTAATAATAAAAATAAATATATTTAATCAAAACATAAAAACAAATTATTAATACACTGTTACATACATGTCGCATGATGTCTCGAAAATTGACATCTCGGTTTTTACCACGTTTGTAATTTGCAGATCTGTTTTTAATTTTTGATTCTATACTGGACATGATAATATTATTGTGTCATTCAACCAACGATTTAAAATAATGAATGATGAATGATGAGTTAGTTTAAGAAAGAGATCAAAAAAATTGGAAGTTAAAACTATGTACCTATGTATATTGTATATACTAATATACTATATTATGAATTAATTATTAATTATTTATGAAATTCGGTAGTTATTGCTCATTACATATTTACATGAAAAATTAGACCCAACATGTCGTGACTCATTAGCTTTTAGCACAAAATAAAGTTAAGCTATTAAAAGACTTATTACAAGACAGTGTATAGTAGTTATCATTTATTACTTATCATTCAGTTAAATATACATTTTGTAACAAAAAAAATTATAAAATTTGATATCAGAAATTTGACTATCATCATTCTATTGTTTAGCAGCTGTGCTATGTAATAATTGTAATCATAAATAAAGCATGATAAGGCGGGAAAATAAATAAAAATTTGTAAAACCAGTTTGAATTATGTAGAATGTAGATGAAAGGTGGAGTGGTGGATAGTAGCATACTATTATAATTATAGCATAAAATTTGAATTTTAAATACTTAAAAAAAAATAATTGTGACTATGCAGTATTTTTAATATTTTTCAACTTCCATTGTTACAATATATTAACCATAAGTATTAAGCGTGACTAGAGACTTCATCGGCAAGAGCAGCCTAGCTAATGATCGGCGCTACCTTATTGGTGAACCGAAAAAGGCCCTATACACGCAAAGCCGTATTTTTTCAAGCCCTCACCCTCCACGATGAAATATTAATTATATAATTTTCAAAAAAGTCTAAATTATCGATTTACAATAATTATCTACAGTAACTTCAGAAATGTTATTCATCTACTGCCTTGGATTACACCACCTAACTACAAATCAAACATAATCCTATACTATAAAATGACAACTCCCGTCTCCCGTATACGGCGTAGGTATAGTAAAACAATAATATCAATAATATCTATATGCGTACCGTACCGTCTTCGTCTGTCTCAAGTTTTTATAGCAGATTTTTCTGATTTCCGAAGTCAGGAAATCATTATCAATTTGACAATACATGTTAAATGAAGATATTATCTACCTAATTTTGTTGAACATATCCTTGTAGGTAAATAGTAATTTTAACAATACACACAAAAATATCAAGTTTAAAAAAAAAAATAAATGTTGTGACCCTTCTGATTTAAAACTCGGTTGACCAGCACCTTTCAAAAATTGCAGGGGAAGCCCAAGCACCCTAGGCTGCAACCGTAGACACGCCACACGTTTATGATATTAATAGTCTTGTATTCAATTTTCAAGGTTTTTGACCCAATGAATAAAATGTTAAATGTTATTGACATAGCGTGACATCTATAGAAAAAAACATAAAAAAATTGTAAACTGAAAATGTCCGTACTCCGTAAACAACTCAAAACAAGTCAAAATATTTTGAACGTCTTATGGTGTATAGAAAACACAAATATTCAGTGAAAATTTGATACATCTACGGTCATAGAGCTACCCCACAAACCGGAATCGATTTTGAGTAAAAATTACGGTTTACGTTCATTTTTTTTGTTTTTCCGGCGCTTTTATAAGCTACTAAAAATCTTAGATTTTTAAATCTCCTCAATGTACCAACTAGATTCACTCCTAGTTCCATCGAACAAGATACTGAATTTAAAATCGAAGCATTATTACAACTGCGTATCGTGTACACAGACACAAATAAGGAAAAAAATAAAATAAAATACCTAGGTACCTATCTATCATTGTAAAATTAATACAATTATTCATTGCTTCACTCGTAATCTAAAACTGTTTATATATTTTTTTAAATTTTTCAATCTTGAAAATTGCATGGATAGATTTAAACCAAAATAAAATAGGTTTGGTCAAAAAATTATAAAATTTCTCATTTTTTTTTGTATTTCCGTACACTTTTAATCACACTTAGTCGAGGTTAATATTTGTGGTACGTTACTACATGGGACACTACATAGACACCACATGGTGGGGGAAATTTGGCCTCGTGAAGTCGGAGTTAATTCATTTTGATGCGATTGACGGTCGCACTCTCTCGTGGAACGGAGATATAAATACTAATTTAGGTTTGAAAAATAATTTGGTATTACAAACGAGAATAATTTGTATAGGTATATCAAATACAACAGAGTACGTGTAACTGCAAAAGGTTATTTTATTACTTAAAATATTTTTATCATGATAGCTGAAACTTCTATGTTATACAATTTGTAAGTGAACATAAAACTTAAAAATATCAAGATTCTTAAAGTAAATTAATAGAATAATATTATTTTGTATTGTTTGTATATGATAATATATAAGGCTAAAATAAATGTTTTAAAATTTAAGTTTTGAACTTATTAAAATATAAATACTATTATTTATACAATAAAGAAATTTAAATATTTTCTGCTTAAATTTATATATTGTATATTTTTTTTTTTAAATCATGTCCCTGCTGTTTACTTGGTTCTTATTGAATTTAATTAAAAACCTTCAAGAATTTTTATGTTTAAATACTTTTAAACATGTAGATTATTAAATAAATAACCTATGCAAATATTACATATTGAATTCAAAAAGATAAGTCATATGATTTTGATAAGTGGAATAGTAATAATGTTGTACATATGACATATGTATAAATATAGTATACAAATTAAAACATTTTGGAGCAAAATAAAACTATTAAAAAATAATATCAAATAGATTATTTCAAAAGTATAATACATTACTTTTCTATTTCTTATTAGTTATTTAAGCAAATAATGTTGAAAAAGTATTTAAAAATTTGGCAAACAGGTGGTTACATGATCTAAAAAAAAATTTTCAACATAAATGGCTGGAAGTAAAAGTATATATTGTAAATAAATAAAACTAAAGCAAATTTAAGTCTGTTAAATCAAAATTATTTTTGTAATGTTTTAATTACAGTTTCTTCAAATTCAACTTTTTTATCAATTCGAATGTGTTCAATTCCATCTAAGCTTTTTGATACAATCCAATGAGGTACTTTTTCTTGGAGAAGATTTAAGTGAGCTTTCCATTCTTCTAAAATAGTAATAAAATGTTACTATTAATAAAAAAAAATGATAAACCAATAAAGAAAATAAGGCAAACAAATATTTAATTACGGTCTGTCATAGCCTCGGGGTAACTCTGCTTCAATTGACCAATGACTTTTTTGAATGGTAAAACATTTCTTTGAAGTTGAACAAAATAGGTGCGCATTCTTCTTGCAATATCTGGTAATCGATTCATCATTCTATCTTCATCTAATTGACCCACCGACCGTGTCATCAATTCTTTAGCTTTTTCTGCTTGCTTTTCCTGAATCTTTATAAAATTATTTGAGTATACTTGAAAAACTAAAAATACTAAAAAACATACCTTTAGTAAAAATGATTTAGGAATCCCTTTAAGTGCTCCTTCTAAAGCATTTTTTGCGTCTGTTGTTGGGAATTTTTTTTCAGTTAAATTTTTATTTTCATTGTTCATTGTTGTGACAGTCCGGTTTAAACGATTATTGTAAACAAACAACGAATGAGATTTGTCTAAAAACAAAATAAGCAGTAATTAATGCATTACAATTGATTACTAAATTTACATAATTTATATATTTTTGCTAAGCAAAATGTCAATACCCAATAAATCTTTTGCCGTTACTATTTTTGGTTTGTTAATTTCAATTTTGGGTAATGTTGAAGGAATGATATCTTCCACAGTTTCAACATCAAACTCAGGATGCCATCTGGTTATTTTATCTTTGGCAATCACAATAGGTGGAGTTAATTTACTCAAATATTTCTAGAAACAAGAAAAAAATAATTATTTTAATTAAACTAAATTAGCTAAAATTATTATTAAAATTTACTTCATGACGCTCCTTCAAAATGTCAAGTAGTGCATTAGAAAATGCCTTTTTCCTTTGAGTTGTTAGTTCAATTAAGTTAATGTTATCTTCGTTCACTGAGCCTAATAATTAATATCAAAATTTAATAATCTTAGTATAAAATGAATTACTATGATCAAATATTTACCATAATTTGGAGTTATTACTAATTCAAAACTAGATTTCTCTTTTGGTGATTTTACCAATGCAAACTTAAAGAAATCTGGTACAACAGTTTTAATTTGAGCCAAATGCAATTCAGTAAAATTTCTAAAATTAAAAAATTAAATATTGAACAATTATTAGTTGTTTATAAAAATATTAATTAAAATATATTTTAATAATTAAATGATTACTTTCTAGTCATTTGCTGAATACCACGTTTGAGTTTATTAAAAGTTATTTTTTCTTTTCTACTAAACATCATAGACGAAACAGTTTCCAAAGCTTTGAATAATTCATCCAAAATACGGTACTTCAAAGGCAATGGTAATGCTTTAGAATCAGCCAATGCAGCATATCGTTTTGATGGTGACATAGCTAAAAGAGATCCTACTTCATCTAATAACTTTCTAGGCGAAACATATTCTTTGGCATGTGTCATCTGAGTGGACATCATTACTTTCCTAGGACTAACCATAGATTGGGTTGGAGTGAGAAATAAGGCTGTAGGTTTAAGTTGAGATCGTTTTATTGGACTTGATCCAACTTTTACCGGGCTAGTGTCAACCAGGAGATCGACTGATTTAAACGACGATAAATAATGGCTTTTGGCAGCATCTACTTTAGACTTTGCAGTGTTAAGATCAATTTGTGATTGTTCCACTGAGTTGATTTTTTCTTGTAATTTCTTAAGGTTGTGTTTACGGCGAAGAATCTTACGAAACTCGCCCAAATCCAACTCCTAAATTAATTAAATATATATATGAGCTTATAATAATTGATTAGATTAACAATGTAACATACAAATGAAAGAAAACCTTCTTTGACTTATTACCAGTTATAGAAAAATTGTTAATTTTAAAATTAATAAAATTGATGGGAATTTAATTGTTTATCTAGTTATTAATCACACTCGAATAATACAACTATTGACAAACATACTTTACGTAATTTGGCCTTAGTTGATGGTGATTGATCTGGAGTTGTTTCTCTCTCTGAACGGACTTCATTTTCATTTTCATTTTCAGTCTCTTTATTCTCCAAAATATTTTCGGCAACAGTAATATTATTAACAACAGAAGCATTTAGATTATTTTGGCCAATATTTTCTATAATTCCAGAATCAACCTAAAAATAATTTAAATATTAAATAATATACATATTATATATTCTACAACTATAAATTATGTTATGAGATACATGTACCTACATAATTCAGTCAATTGTTTTGATAGGTACAATGTTTTTTAGAATTTAAGCATAAAAATGTGTTAGTTTTATATTGTTTAATTTTTTTCTTTAAAGTAATGCCACAGTTGTTGCTTGTTTTATCTTGCAGTAGATATAAGTTTGAACTTTGAAGGCTATGGTTGTATAAGCTACACAGGTTTTTTATTATAAAATAATGCGTAATATCTCAAATGACAAATATATCCATTATCTTGTATGTTATTGAAGAAAATAAATACGTACATTTATTTTTAGTCTATAGTTTCAAGTCTCTAGAATTTGTATGCTATAATTTGTAAGTATTTATAAATTGTATCCACAAATAAATGATGGCAGCAGAGGAGTAGTATTGTTCAAACAAAGACTCCTCTGCTGTTGGTTCAACGAGGAAAAAAAAAGTATCTAGAATTACCTCGAGAACTACAATGATCTCTATCAACTAAAATATCATCCTCAAATAGTTAGTAAAAAATATATCGTATTGTTACACAATTAGATCATATCATATTATATTACAATGATACCTGCCTACAACAGTTAATCACGAGACCATCAAAAGTGTTCTTTATAGACAATTATTCATTACCTAAAGAAAGGTTTTAGTGTTTTTAAAGCCAAATTAATTTGTACCATTGATTATAAATTCTAGAATTTATAATCAATGATTTGTACATTAGTAATGAAAATGTGGTATTTAAATTTATTTTTACCATAAGGGAATACTTGTAGTTATTTTTTTAACACATCAACATACATTCTAATATTGTAAATTAATAACTGTGTAATATTTATATGTATAAATATAATCAAGTTGTATGTGTACATAACGTTAAGCTGCTAATTTCTAGACATATATTTTTAAAGTTAAAAATAAAATTTTAAATTGTTTAAAATCAAATGATATACATTCTATTATGTTTAAACAGAAGAAAACACATTACCCAAAATCTAAAAAAAATAACAGTTTAACAAACAAAAAATGTTTACAGGATGTTGCACGATAAATGTGTCAAACTTCTAGAGGGGTTTCTACACCTCAAATGGAACAAAAAAAGTCCTTGTGACCATAATCAAACTATCAATAATAAGGGAGACAATTTCCATGTTTGTTTTTTTTTTTGTTAAACCCAAGTTTGATTCATAATAATGTTCGTATCTGCTAAACCATAGGTACTACAATTAATTTGAATACATTGATGAAAAGCTCATACAATTGGGATTAGGAAAACATATCTTACAAGCTTCCCATCTGATTTTTTGGGTAAAAAGAATAACACATTTTTTATAACTTTAAAAAATTTCAGTTTTATCCTACAATCCAATTATTTTAAGGCAAGTGGGAGCAAATTTCAAAAAAAATTCAAAATGTTATAAGCTTTTTAACAGTGTACTCGATTTTTTTGTTAAATCTAAGATGTCGCTATTCCACCTAATATGTGGAAAAACGTAAACAAATTTTAAGCAATAAATACAAAACCGGGTTAACTGATTTTTTTAAAATTTGGACATTTTAAAGTTATAAAAAATGTGTGTTATTCTTTTTACCCAAAAAAACAGGTGGGAACCTTGTAAGATATGTTTTCCTAATCCCAATTTTATGAGCTTTTCATCAATGTAATCAAATTAATTGTAGTACTTACGGTTTAGCAGATATGAACTTTATTATGAATCAAACAAAAAAACACAAACATGGAAATTATCACCCTTATTATTGATAATTCGATTATGGTCACAAGGACTTTTTTTGTTCCATTTGAGGTGTAGAAATACCTCTAGAAGTTTGACACATTTATCGTGCAACACCCTGTATACAGGGTGATCCATTTAACATAAGACACTTTATTGTTTAACCATTTACTTTTTGTATATTAAGTGTCTTACGTTAAATGGATCAGTGGATCACACTGTACATATTTTACTAATATATAATGTATAATAATTAATATGTGTACCTACATTATATATTTAGTGTTTTGAACTACAAATTAACTGTGGTTTTAACGAAATTTTAACTTTAAATGCTTATAAAAAATAACCATGATGCCTATGTATTGTTAATATTTTAGCTATAGTAAAAAAACTTACGTATTACATTTTTAAGCTTTTTGACCAGATAAATAATTTTTTATTGACATTTATAGAAAAAAATAATTTAATTATTCAAATACAATCCAAGTGAAGACGGTATAACCAAACATTTAAATAAATTTTCATTTTTTTTTTCTCCAATTATTTTTAAAAGCACTGAACATTTTCAATTTCGACCTCCTAAAAGTACCAACTAGATCCAATTTGCTTCCAAAAACATACACTGGGCATCGAAGCTTAGGATCAGAGCAATTTTTTCTACCAGAAAAGTTGAAAAGTTACAAACATTTTAAAATACCTCAAATAAACGTCTGAAATTATTAGACCGGACAAAATAAAAATAAAATTGTAACTAATTTTCAAGCCCCCCCTCCCCATTGAAAAATCCTGAGGATGCTACTGATAATAAACTATTAAGTCGGTCTTGGTGCATAGTACTTCTTAGTTTATTTTTTACTATTGTTAATTTTTAAAATAACCCGTTCGCAGAAACAACTTGTAACTGGTATTACACTAAATAATTTCAATATGGTGAAAAAATTATTAAATTATTTTATATAATTATTGGTTTTCCAAGCCACGAATGGATAGATTCATTACTAGTACAAGTATCTGGCTAACCATCGGTAGCTATGTTTAAAATGATGTATATATTATGTATAACCAACCTATTAATGTCTTTAGTCATAAATCATAATACATTTTATACACAATATATTTTATGTTGGATGAATAAAAGTGATCCAGTGGTATACATAAGTATTTATAATTTTATTTCTCTATCACAACAAATAAAATGTTCAAACATATTATTATAACAAATATATACATACATTTTACTATGCTCCTAAAAGTATTCCTATAATGCCCCAGCTCGACCCTACAGCAAGCGCATGTCTATATTAAACAAGCAATAAACGTTATCGTTTTTAGAGATATAAAAGTAATTGGTCAGACATCAATTACACATGGTTATTTGTTAAGTTAGGTATCATTGAAACTATACTGTTTGACCGTGTGTAACTAGCTCTATAAATGGAAAATATTTTTCAACATAAAAATAACTAATTTCAGTATATCCAATCAAAATATACATTTACTTTGTACTTATTTGGTTAATTGCATGTCATGTTAATATTACGATCACCATTAAAATAAAAAAACACAATAATAATATCAGTATAAGTAATTCTTATATAGTATACTAATATAGTGAAGTACTAAATAGTTAACTAACCTTTTGTTTTTTAGCAGTTTGCTGCACGGTAGAATCAAATGATAGTTTTCTAGTTGGTTTATTTACTCCAACAGTATTGTTCAGTAGTTCCTTTTTATGCAAACCATCTTCATTGGTTGGCCTTTTTCTACTTTTGATGAAACTATCCAATGTTTTTTGAGTATCCATATTTACTTCAATAACAATTTATACGTTAAACCACAGAATAAAAATTGAAATATGTCAGTAGTCACTAGAGTCAGTAATCACTAGTCATTAATGAACATTAACAACGGGATTTCCAAAAACTATTACCTATCCGATACTACCAGACCACCTATTAACAACAATGAACAATTAATGCCGATGAAGAATTTAACGAGTTTATTAGAATTTAGAAGTGGTGAGAACTGTTTACTGTTAAGAAGCTTGTTGCTGGCGCAGGCCGCAGGGAAGAATCGTCGCAGGGTTATCTTTATTGAGTTTATTCTATGGAGTATGGGATATATTATAATAATGTCATTAAGGGGCTACCGGGCTCATTGAACTGATTACTAAATAATACCACATAGTACTGTATTCAGTGCTACACTGTTAACCGGTAGCGATAACATTGTCTTGTTGTGGTCCACTGATAAGTGATAAGCATTAGGCGACGGCCGATGACTTCTTCAGTAATTCAGTATTCACTAAGTTCGTTCTACAATTGAAGGAACTTTAGAATTTTCGGTACTTTTAAAATACTAAATAACATAATTACATAATCAACAAAATAATAATAATTTAAATATTTAAAATGTTGGGCACCAATCTGTTTAGAAATATCAGATATTTTTCAACTAGTTATTGTTTAAGATTAGATATGTCTTGGAGAACTTTGTAAGTAGTAAATATTTATGTTTGTAAAGATTTTGTTATAATTTATAATATTCAATTTATACTAGCTGTTTCACAATTACATTTAAGCAATTTGTACACTAATTATATAACAGGATATTGTGATAATTGAATATTTATAGGAATAATGAATTATCATTATAAATGTATTATAAAATAGTTGATTATTTTTGTTTTCTTGTCATAATAGTATCTTTTTTCCATTTAACTATCATTGATTGACTCCACTTTTGCACAATCCACAATAACACCACCTCCAATATTCGAAATATATTCTCTTAACAAAAAATATTCTTCTTCCTGACTCCAGCAATCCACGCTTCCTTGTTATTTGCCTTCCCCTTAATTTATTTGTATAAATTACATGCTTGGTTATTCACTATTAATTGTAAAATTGCAACATTTTTCTATAATATTTGCCTTCTACACTTTTACATATTTAATGAAAGAAATGCTAATATTTTAAGTGTAGTACTAAGTTTAAATTTAAAAAAGACAGTTACCTTTTTAAGCAGCTTTGACTTAATACTTGGAAATTAAGGTTTTATAAAACCTAGTTTCTTTGTATTATATAGTTTATTTGGTAGTCAAACAAAAGTTGACAACTTTTATTTACAGAAAAAAACTGCCTCTGAACCCAATGGATAGAGGAGTTCTTACGGATGGTGCTGATTACATTTTTTTGGATGGGCGTCCTACCCCATTTGGAATGAAACAAAAACGAAAACTTTTGCTTCAAAGAGAATATGCTGTAAGTTATATTGAGTGTTATAAGTATAAATAATTATTTTAATACATTTTAATCATTTTTAGAAAAAAATTGTTCAACTCAGTGAAAGTTTAGACATTGCAAAAGAACGGTATGCGATGAAAGTCGGAGAAGAAGAAGTAAAGATAAAACATGTATTGGATAGAAAACTTAGGCCCAAAGGAAATAAAATTACTCAGGACAAATAGTCTTTATGTATTTATTATAATTCAAAAATAATTAGGTAGAAAACACATTTTGTACAGAAAGTTATAATTTAATTCATTGCAATAAAAACAATTATACAAAACTTTTTACTGGAATATTTTTGTACCTAATCAAAATGCATTCCAGAATACACAATTATCCACATCACCTAAAATAAAACAAAACAGTATATTAAATTAAATTTAATGCAATATGTATTGTTAAATTTAAGTATTAATTTGACTCTTAATATGTTTCTAAACATATTAAGGGCCGAACTTACAATGTCTGGTTAAGTGTCTGATAAAGCTAACCGGCAGAATTTCTTTAATGTTACCGATAGAAATCTGCCGGTTAGTCTTAACCGACATTGTAAGATCGGCCTTAAGAGAACTTTGCTAAGGATAACTGAAAATAATACAGAAATACAATTTAAATATATGTTGAATTATTAGTTATTTGTTTAAAATATATTATTTTATTGATAATACAATTTGAATGTATAAAATCGGAAAAATGCCAAACATATTGTTTATTTTAATCCAATTATAATAGATATAAATCTTGCATAGTTTAATCTAAATTTTTAGCCCTATTATTAAATTATATATAATTGTTGATTAGTGACTCTACTGGGCAACAGATAAGATGTCGCCTATGATAAACTATAGTCTATAATCCATTTGGTGATCTCTGCTGTAATTCGAGGTGAATCAATAATATTTTTGGTATTATTTAATATTTTGATGTTTGTATATACATATATAGAATTGAATAAACCTCCTGGGGATAGTGTGGCAATAGTCGATTCTGTTAAGATTTATTGTGTTATATTATTTGTTAAAAATTAACATAAATAAATCTATACATATTAAGAGAACGTCATACCCACATATTATGTTGTCTCTATCTTACTAACGCATAACATTAAAAAATTAGCCATTCAAGTTATGTGATAAGCTTAAATATTAGAGTGAATTTACCTCAATTTTAATTTGTAAGCAAGTTATAAACTTATGAAAAAAGACCGGATTTAATTGATATTGCAACTTTTTATTGTGGTCAGGTAAATTAAATCTGATTAAATACGCACATAAATTGGACTAATTACAGTCTTCCTATTTAATTTCATATTGCAGTTTTTTATACTTTTTTAAATTTTAGTATACTTCACATGATAAAATATACAAATTATTATTTCATAGGTAATTTCTGAATAAAAATATAACTATGATGTAAATTTTCTTATGGTATTTCTTAATAGTAGGGAAGCGTTCTAAGGATACGGTCATAGAGTCATATGAGTGTCATGATATTATTAATAAATTGATAATAATAATTTATTGGCCGACGTATTCTAGATCTCAATGGGAAAATAGTTAACGATCAATTTAAATATATTTTAGAAAAAAAAGAAGGATATACAATTATAAAACTATTAAAACATATTCTGAGGTTATGGCAGGAAATCAAAATGTATATCTAGTTATGACGCCAAATATTTTAAATATGCACTTTTAACAATATAAGTTACATCTCGGGGTGCCACCATAGGGTGACTTCCCCCTCCCGTTAATCATCCCCATCACATTTATTTATTGTAATATATATATAATTATAGATTGTAAATAAAATAAAATAAGTTATAACAATATCAAAGACTTAAGTTCTCTACTAGTTGAGATACTATTTCTGGAGGTGACAGAGCACCTTAATGAGGAGATAGTTAATTTTATTAGCTCCAATAAATAAAATATTTTTCATACCAAAAATCCTGCTAATGAAGTAACAAATCCTTCTTTGGTTAATTCCCAAGCTCCACCAAATTCCTCTTCGTCAATTTGTTGGAAATTAGTAAAATATGCATATAATGAAACAGCATTGAGCACTAAAAATCTAAACAAGTAAATTATCATTAACATACAAATGTATTGAAAAGGTTTATAATTATATATCTTACAATCCTAATCCAAATAGTCCTTTTAGTGGTAAGAGACCCCATAATAGACCAGCAATGAGTCCGAGGATTTGCCTTGCCCAATAAATTACATCAAGAAATTCATCCTTAATAAACCATTTAATAATGAACATTAATATTATGTATAAAAAAAAAACAATAAAGATAATTCTCTCAACTATTTATATTTACTTTGTCGGGCCAATCCGAATTTCTTGTGGTAGCTTTTTTTAAAGTATCCAAAATTGAATTTTGACACGGTGTTTTCTTATCAACTGATTTTGACATGTTTCAATTGATGGACATAAGTTTAAGACACTAATCAGACTCGGTCTGTTATTTTAATTTTAAAATTACACGTTTGATTACCAAAATATAACACCTAGGTGTATAATAATAAATTTTTAATATTTAATTTTTGGTAATTATTAATTACCTATTATTATTAAGATACAGTAACTCTATCTAAATTCTCGAATGCCGATAGTCGATAAAAAGTGAAAACCGGTATCAAAATATTGAATATTAAAAATTCAAATGCAGAATGTAACTAATTATAGTCTTGAACTAAAACTACAATAATAAATTGTAGATGTTGAATTGTAGAATCAAAAGACAAAAATTAAAATTACATAATTTCCTTATCAACTTATCAACTTATAGATAATAATGATGACGAACAAGACAAATCACTATTTCCAATAATTTTATCATTACTGAGTGGTGGACGGGTGTGGGTATCACACAATATTATTCATATTTCATACTACGACATGGTGGGCGGGTGAAGGGGGACGGCCCGCAAAAGATTCCTGTGTTATCATCGACACTCATAATCGAAAGTTTTCAGCGCTACCAGTGGTTTTATTTAGCGTCACATTTTGCATCTCGGACCTCACTACCTCAGTGGGCCGTGGCCCGTGGGCGCCAGTGGCTCAGTACTCAGTAGTCAGTAGGCAGTAGCCTCAGACGATATCAGTCCCCGTTTTATACCACAGAACAATACAGACGGCGCTGATGCGCTGTAAACTCTCGATTATGATGGCGACCCCCCCGATATTTGTCTCTTGTACGTACTCTCGAAGCTTCTCGTTTCCAGTCCATTACCTATTATAAAATTGAATTGCGACAATATTTCTGAGAGTAAGTTGTTTCGTATTTTCCATTATACCCAATACAACGTTCATTATACATTTATACCGTTTAAAATAGCAAAAATTTCAACATTTATAAATTTTTAATTTTGTAATAAGTGTTTTTATTCTAACACCAAAATTGAGCGAGTTCAGAGTTCTACATAGACTGCGTAAACACATTTTGTCTATGTCGTACGTGTGTAAGACGGAGACAACACATGCGCCAAGGTGGATTTATAATGGATTTAAATCCACCTTGACGGCTCGACATGCACCGTCCTCTTGTATATCCATGATAACACGACGTAGAGAAGAGTATCTTCTTAGCCCCCCCCCCCCCATTCCTAACTTTTTTAGGTACATTTTAAATTTTTAGAAAACATGTTGTGTACCAGAAATAATATAATAGGCTATAGCCCATTATCATGAGTATATCTTACATTCTTACATAATGCTGTGAAGATAACTCCGTGCACTGTAGGCTGTAGAGCATAATATTATCTAGCATGGTCCTATAAACCATACGACCATAGACTTATTAATAATTAATTGTATTAAAATATATGTTATAAAGAAGTGGTGTAGTGGAGTCAGTGGAGGGTATACGGGGTTCAAGATTTTAATTTTAAATGCTTTTAAAATAAAATATTGTGATTAAGGATTTTTAATATTTTTCAAATGCCATTATAAAAATATATTAAGAGCCCTGTATTAAATTTTCAAGCTTTTTTAGCTGACATATAAAATTTTATTGACATTCAGAGAAAAAAAAACTAAGAAATTAGAAACTGAAATTGTCCGCAAAAAACTCAAAACCAGACAAAATATTTTTAAAATGTTAATATAAACATTCAGTAAAAATTTCATGTATGTACGGCCATTTGTTTTAGAGTTACATCAAAAACCAAAATCTATTTTGTCAAAAACCTATTTCGCGTAAAGATTCCTGTTTTTCCTTAATTTTTATTTTGCTTTTCCCGGCGCTTTTGACAACTTTTAGAAAATTTAAAATTTGACCTCCCAAATGCACCAAATAGATTCACTTTCCCATCGAACAACTGAACAATTCAACAAGATGCTGTTGAAGAAAATCAAATTGGCAGTAACACTTGATGACACTCAAAAATAAATATCAATAAAATATCGCTCTGCTCACAATCTAAAATTTAAATAATTTAATTGTACAAAAAAAATAACCAAATATTTTAATTGCTCGATTTAGCAACTATTTCATTTAGAGGTTTAGTTATTCTTATTACTTTTGGACTTAGTAAACATTTAACATGTAAAATAGATATTAACAGAAATAATAGAATATACAAACAAACAATGCTTTATAGAGTATGAAAATTCACAATATATTCAAACAAATTATTTTAAAAACGCACACAAATAAATCATTGTTTGGATTAAAATATTTAATGATAAGTACATACAATGTAAAAGTAAAATATTTGGTAAAAATAAACCTGTTTTAAAGAATACAAAACTTGTCAAATGAAAAATGCATCTATTTCATTTTTAATGATATGAGAAACAAATAAACATATAAATACAGAAATGAAATACAATTGTTTTAGGAATGAAATAATTATCATAAGATATTATTGAAAACATTTGATATTTAATAACCAAAACCCACTTATTCAAAACATCTCAATATTTTACATTTTGTTTATACAAAATGTATCATTTTTATATAGGTAATTCTATGATAATAAAAATACAGATCTAAGATTATTAAGATATTGATAGTTCTAATTTTAAGATCATTAACTGTATCAACTGTTTTCATATAAAAATAAATAAATATTATTTAAACTCTTAATATTTGCATTAATTAAATGTTAAATGACTAGTGGAGTAATAAAATACTAAGAAAATCAGTGTTCTGCAGATTAAAAAAAAAAAAAGTTCAGTACAAAATTGTATGCAAACATTTAATAGCATTACAGTCATGGACAATTTACTAAATGGAGTATAATATAATATAATATTTAGATAATTTTACTCCAGTATTTGCATATCTACACATGTACAGACTTTATAATTAAAGTGAGAACAATTTTATGATTAGTTATAATCATATTGATGAACGGATTTAAACTTCATGGAAAAATTGTTCAATTTACAATAAACAATGAAATTAATAACTTTTGTACGAATAAATACAAAGAGTATTCAAGGAACTATGACATTAAAATGTTTAGTTGAATATTAAAATGTCATTATAATAATTAGGGACGGAAATTGTATGCTTTAAGTTTTTACATAATAATATATTCATTAATTAACTATGGTTGACGACAGAAACAGGCATGGTCGATTTTTCAACACTTATTTCAAGGGAAAAAATGAAATTTTGATTAACTAATATTTCTATAGACATCTGTATTGGAAAGTTATATGTTATTATTAATTATCCCTTAATTGTTGTTTTATATCAGTGTACAAAAAAAGTATAATATATTTTAAAAGTGAGATAATTATATCATTTCTATTATTGTGTGTAGAAAATATTTTTGTATATATTATTTTCATGATTTAAAAGCAGTTTTTAATGGGAAATCATATATTAATATCATATTTAAAGATTTTTAAGACTAGGTACATGGATGTTGACAATTGTGGCAAGTGTTTAACAACTAGTTTAGTTACATGAGTGAGTAATAAAATATTTAATATAATAAATTTAAACAAATAAATAATAAATAGGCAATTGTAATTGTTTTTTTATGTACTTATTTTTGTTATTAATTGTCCTCGTGATTGATTTTATAAGATTGATATTCATAATATAGCCTCCAATTAATATTCATATTATAGGATAATCATTTACCTTATTGAAATGTCTTAATTGACGGATGGTTTAGTATAAAAAATATGGTTTGTAAATTTGTATGTTAACATACTGTAAATGGAAAACATATATTTTTTTTATATGCATATAAACTGTTAACTTGCAATTTGTTATACATTTTTACATACAAAAATGTTTTTGTTGTTCGTATATTATTAATTAATAATTAGTTTTTTTTTTTTTATAATTTATATTATTTAGAGAAAGATTACCTTAAAGATAAATATACAAATTATACAGGTACCTACTTGTTCAATATGTGACTTATCAGACTGCATTATTAACCAGTATTTTAAATGGTGATCTATCAAAATATTTTTCTTACAAATTATAGATTATATAGGATATTTAACAACAATAAATTTCACCCAGATTAATTATTAGGTTTTATACAAAAAACTAGTGAATAAACGTTATGTTTATTTAATTTTTTAATTAGTATACAAATTCAAAATAAAAATATGTACCTAATATATTTATAGCATATTATTTTGGATAAAATGTATAATTGTTGATGGTGTAAAAGTCACAATTAATTGCCTGTGGCAACATAATAACTGATGTTCCATTTTTCATATCATTTTGGTTTTCAATACTTTCTATAAGCTTTTGATAATTTGTGTATGAGCCCGTAAATAGATGGATGAACAATATTATTTGTATGATTTACTGTTATAGTTCATAACTTCTAATAAACAAGGATTAATATTTATCTGTTATTACAACGGTAGCATATAAGCTGTGTGCAATAGATATAATTAATATTTTTAGTATAGGTTGTCTTGGTAGGTCACATATTAAAACCAATAATACCGGTGGGTCACAAACAAGGCTTGATTTTTACCATGTAGGCGGTAAGTCACATATTATAGAACAAATATCATGATATCATGTGTATACTAATAATAACCTACAGGTCATGTTTATTAATTTTGTATGGATGCATATTAGGACGGATTCATATTTGAACAAAGTTAAAGTATTTAAAGCCAAGAAAAAAACAAAATATTTATTTTAAAATTACTGAAAAAAAATCTTAATTAGATTAATATACTTGATTAATTTTATTTTTAGAGTTAAATATTCCTTATTTAATGCATTTATAAGTCCGTAATTTAAACAATTAATTTACAGACTGAGATGGATCATACAAATTATAATAATAAGAATTTTGCCTTGTTATAAACTCGTAACTGTATTTGGATCTTTATGTTGATGTGTAACAATAAGCAAATATTCTAAATATGAATTATTTTTTTTAATGGGATTTAAACTTAAATAAAAAAATTAACTGAAAAATGTTTAATCATAATTGATAATCTAAAGATTTGTTTTTCAGCAACAAAAAACATTTTTAATTAAGTGTTAAATATTATAGACTATGGGTTATGTATTTATTTAAATTGAATTATTATTATGAAAAAATATAATTAACTGCATTATTTGAAATTTCATCTTGTGCATTTGTGCATGTATATATTCAAAAATATGTAATCTAATAATTCCTAAACCCTAGTTATATTTTATAACTTAAGTTTATTGGTACATTCAATATTCAATTTTATATTATTTATACAATCAAATTCATAAAAAAATGATATATATTCAATTTTAAAATGCATTGTTACTTATATAAATTCAAACTATATACAGAAAATAGAAATACTGTCATTGTGTGTTTGTAGATAAACAAATAGAGGAGAACTAAAAGTACATAAGGGAGACTTGAACTGTTGAACCCAACCTAATTAAGCCTCAATTAATTATTAAAAATATTATGCTGTGGATTTGTGATGATAAGCTGTTATGAATTGATGCTTATCTTATTTAATAATACTGATAATATAAGATAATAGATTTAAAAAATATATAATTTACAGAGGAACTCCATTTTTTTTTTTTAAGTCATTTTATAAACTATTGCTCAAAAAGTATTTTATATAATTGCACATGAACACCATTGAATCATAAAAACTTCTAAAAAGTTAAGTCTTAGAAGATAATTTTTCGATTAAAACTGTAATTAATGCAATGAATAAATCAAAAAATAAATGCATTATTTATTAATATAATATAATATGTTACTTTAAATTGCAATTTTATGTAAGTCTATTTTTTTATTTGATAAAAGATGATAATTTTATTTTTTCCTTTTCACTTAAATTCAATTATAAATATAAGTTGCTTATGACACAGTGTACAATAATCTATTTTTAATTTATACTTAAGTATAGTAAATATTATACAAAGGACGATTTTTAATGTGAATAAATGTATTAAATTATTTGTTACAAACTTATTTGTAACATCATTTTTATATACTTCTTTGATAAACAAAAAACCTGAGTATAATTATTTACTAAAAATTATCATGTATATTAATTTTAATACTTGTATATTGAATACATTACTTTAATTTAAATTATTAATGAATAAATTACATAAGTGGTAATATTAGGTATTTAAGGTCCAATAAAAATATTTTAAATTATAATAATTCCTTAACTTAATTTTTTTTTTTTTTTTGTTAAGTTTGGCAAAATGTGAAGTTAAAATGTTCAAAATATAATGAAAAAATAATAACAACAATTAATAAGTTCAATAAATAAAATAAAACAAAACAAAATGAGATCTAAAATATTAAGAAAAATAAAATAAATGTTGGTTAGTTAATAAATAATAATAAACCAAGGTAGTAGTATAGTTTAAGTTATATGTTTTTCTTTAAAATTAATACTGTTTAATTAAGTGAGTAATTTAAACATGAATCACATTTACTTAATTTAACAATACAAAACTTAAGAACTTGCAGCAACCCAATATGGCACATTTGGTATTGGTGCAAGAATTGATCATTTAATCACTTACTTCCCTGTATGGTATTTCTGAGGTAATAGTGAAGTCTTCAAAATAATGATTCAGGAACTCAAATGTGGGTCGTTTATCTGGATCAGAGTCCCAACACAGTAACATCAGTCTGTAGATATCATCAGGGATGAAATGAGATACTGGCTTTGGCATACGATATCCATGTTCCACTTGTTCAATTACTTCACGGCCATGCATACCTAAAATACAATATATTATTAACATAGTATCATAATATATTTACAAGGAACACCTTTACTTAGGAATATTTATACATTCAAGTAGAATCTTATAACATGATTTTTGTCATTAAATCATAAAATCTGAAGGAACCCAACTACATCAAATATCTAAATTTGATCATAAAAAATTGCCTAAAATTGCCCCCTTGGCATTGGGATAGTAGTATTATTTAGTATTAATTATAAAAATAATTACAGTTAATAATATTTATAACAACATTGAAAGCAGTGGCTAATTTGGCGAATTGGCAAGTTTCCTAAAATTTTGTTTTGTATCTTGAGTTATTTTTATAGGTTGTAAATTGTAACAGTTTCATCCCAATGAGTAAAATGCAATTAAAATCATAAATACTGAGTTTTTTTCAATAATATTTGAAATTCAATTAATAAATAATATTACATGTACAATTTAAACATTAAAAAAAAAAAGTTATAAACAATAGGAAACTTAAATTAAATAATTAATCCATACAAAAACTTTCATTTAAAAAAAATAGAATCAGACAATAATGAATAAATGACCTTCATATTTTAAGAATGTAATTATTATTCAGTAAAACTAATAATTGTAAATCAAAGTTATGTCATAAAAAACACCTAGTCGCCTAAGTGAGATGTTATAAAAAAAATTAAGTATTTAGGCATTTCTTATGCCAACTGAGATCAATAATGTTTGAAAACATGTTTATACTTTAATATAATCATAAAATTCTTAATATAAACTATCTATTATTAAACAATGTTTTAAATTAAAATATTAAAATAGTATAAATTGAAAATGAATTACTTTAAATGTATTTTAAAATAGAAGTTGCAGATGAAAAAACCAATTTATTACCTGGGTATGGGACTTGTCCGTATGTAAATAATTCCATAAGTAATATTCCAAAGGACCATACATCTGATTTAATTGAAAAACGTCCATAGACAATAGCTTCAGGTGCAGTCCACTTTACAGGAAATCGTGTACCTTGCCTAGGACAATATTCATCATCTTCTATAATTCTCGCTAAACCAAAGTCACAGATTTTAGCCATGTTATTTTCTCCAATCAATACATTTCTTGCAGCCAAATCACTAAAAAACAATTATCAATTAATATAGTTGGGTTCCTTAATTAATTTATCTTTAATGATTTTACCGATGAATTAATTGCTTTAATTCCAAATATGCCATTCCGCTAGCAACTTGAGCAGCAATATAGATTAAATCACCAAATTGTAAATATTTACTATCACAATTTCGCAAAAAATCCAATAAACTTCCATTACACATATATTCTTGTATAATAAGTACAGGTTCATCTTTTGAACAAACAGCATAAAGGGCAACAAGTCTATCATGTCGAAACTTTTTCATTATAGAAGCTTCTTGTAAAAATGCTTGAGTAGACATAGAGCCTTGTTTAAGTGTTTTCACAGCTACTTCAATATTATTTCGCCATTTGCCATACCAAACTTCACCAAAATTACCATGGCCAAGCTTTCTAATTAATTGGATTTCACTGCGATCTATTTCCCACTGATCACGTAAATTTGGACCTAGATCCCAAATCTGTGGTTGTGGCTTACAACATGAACGAGCCAAAACATGACATAATCCCAATGAATTTTCTAAAAATAATACAAAATTAGATAAAATTATGAAAATAATAAATACTAAATTTCTTACTAGAATAGGCAGATATGAGCTCGGGAAGACTAGAAAAAGTCTGATTAGTGGCAATATAATAACCACCATTATCAAGAGATTTTATTTTATAATGTTTCACATGATACCCTCGACCTCCTTCCCAATCTTTAACACTAAGAGAGAAGCCATTTGGATTATGTTCCGAATCACGTACCAAGTATGTCCCTCTTTGATTTTCTTCAGATAATAAAAGCTTTTCAGCTTCTTTACGAGATATTTTACCAAAAAACCAACTGCAAGCAGTTATTAAAAATATTTTTAATTTTATTAATATTATTGTATCAATATTCAATGGTGTTACTTACTCTTCACTCTCAACCGATTTTTCTTCAGCAACAAAATTCCAAGGTATCAATCCTTCCTCATTTGTTCTTAAATGTCTAACACGCCACCAATCTGGTTCACTATCATCTAATAGTTCCATACGATCTCCTTTAACAAAGGAGACATCAGACATTTCCCTGGACTGATAATTATAAACAGCAACCACAATTCGTCCATGTAAAGACGAATGAACTAAAATATAATTTTAATTAAATACATGAAAATTGTAAAAATTAATTAAATATTGTTATTACGTGTTGATGTTGGAGTACGTATAATGTCGACACCATGGCGTTTAATGCTTGCTGTTCCATGTTGACGATTCAATTCAGCCACATAACGCACTTCACTGGATCCTTTATTCAAGACATCTATAGAATCTTGTATTTTGAAACCATGATGTAAGACTATAAAGTAAATAATAAAACAAAAGTATATAGGTTACCTAGTTGAAAATTAATATCCAACAATAGATATTTACCTAGATGATGGGTAGGATCTGGTGAATGACGACTACAGCAAGTACCCATTTTATGTGCAATGATTAGTCTTCATCATATTATTTGCTAATATATATAGCTTTACATATATACCAACATATTTAAATAAATTATTAAAATCACATAGGTAGATATATTCAAATTGATACGGATTATTGGTTACGACTTATGATTAACGAATAAACTTACTAAAATTATTGTTGTTATTTTAAACAGTAGAACGTAATATTCTGATTTACTTTTTAACTAGATAATTTTAAAGCATTGAACTCAACTCACATTGATTACACTTTCTAAAATATTTTCGTCTTCTGTATCATTCTGTATGTATACAAAATAGTAAATACAAATACAGTTCGCATTATTTTCATCAAGTTGATTATTGATAAAAATATATTCTTTAGCCCACTCTCGTGGCGAAAGATAACAACACAAACTATAGCCTCTGATAAGATCGTTATAACCACGGACTAAGATATACAGGACTGGACACGACAAGGTTGGAGGGTGTGGGGGGGTTGACTACGAAATGTTTTACAACAGGCAGTGTTCGGGGGGATATTTTCCTTTTAGCATTACTAGCGCCGTCCTAGTGGATACTTATGGAACTAGAACACATCATACAAATTTCTAGTTCCATAAGTATCCACTAAGACGGCGCTAGTAATGCTAAAAGGAAAATATCCCCCCGAACTCCGCCTGTTGTAAATCATTTCGTAACCACAATATTCATCTCGTGTCCAGTCCTGTATATCTTAGTCCGTGGTTATAACTTATATTTTATAATTTTACTGAATAAATAAAAAGTAAAAGCTTATATATTATATTTCTGTACATATATATAAATACGTATATCTTAAATCGTGGTAAATACCAAGGTGGTAAAGTCCAAGGCATTAATTAAGCAATCATGGCCGTTGAAAATGGGTCGGATATAGATTTTACAGTAGAAAAAATGCTTCTATCATTGATTATAAATACTAGGATAATATAATTAAGATGTTATTTTTAAAATTCCACGAAATGATTGGGTACATAAAATTTATATTTACTTTGGGCACATCAGATTTTAAATAGCTTATAGTCAAGAAAAGTATGAATTGAACCATTTTTTTGAAATTACAATGGACTTCAGGAAGTACCTATGTAGTACTATGTACCTATATGTTTAATTACCGTTTTTAGTAATTTTTATAGTCGCATGCAAACAAAAATAAATTTTATTTTCCTCGACGATTTGACATAATATGCGTGCACGTGCGATACTTATAAAATATAAACCATAATAATATATTAATATAGTATTTATAATCAATGATAGCACTCACACAATGACAGAACTCAAATGTACGGTCTAAATAAATTGCCTAAATATTACTTCTTAAAACATGGCGCCCAACACCTTTAGACTATAATATGGGCCAGTGGGGTAGTAAGAAATTTCTCTTAAGGGGATAGACATTTTTTACACACAAAATACTAAATACCTACTAAATAAATAAAATAAATACAGTGGTAATTAGCGAGTGGTAACTAATTGGCAGTGTTGGGTAGTAACGTAACGACAGTAACGGCGTTACTTTGCTCGTAGCGCGTTACGTAATTTCATTAGAATTATTTCCGAGTAACGAAAATGTAATGGAAATTACTTTTGAAAATTAATTTCAATAGAATAACGCGTTACAGTTTCGAATTATTGAGTACCTATACCTACGTGTTGCGAATTGAAAAAAAATATATGTATAATGCGGGTATTATGTTTACAAAATCTAATATGTATATATATATTATTATATTTAATTTTAACTCGGCACAATTCAGTTTTCAACGGTTTCGAAATTTGAAATGTCTAAATGCACCTTAAATCACGAGAACAGTTAATTAAATTTATTATGTAATTTGATTCCTTTAAATAGGTTTCCTATGAATATAGCTTGTGTGGAAGACTACCTACATTTCATATGATCCTATTAACTATACAGGTTTATAAAGAATTTGCTTGTTCAATTTGCCTGCAGAAGATAATTGCCAAGAAATTTAAAATAAATTTTTATTTTTGTAACTAGAAAGTAATGAGTTACTTTTCTATTTGAAAAGTAAAGTAATTTCATTACAATTTTATTTGAGTAACGAGTAAAGTAACTTAATTACTTTTTAAAAGTAACTTAGACAACACTCCTAATTGCTACTATTTTGTCAAAAATCCCAAAACTAAAATATAGGTACACAAAAATACAAAATCATTAAATTTTGATTTAATATTCTACATAATTTAGTATCTATAGAATATTATAATATATTTTCATAAATTCACTTTAGCTAACAGGAATTTTTTTTTTAAACATAAGTATTTCAACGATGGTCAAATCAGCAATATATTTCCGTTTTACAGGACACAGTTTTTTTTCAATTTCTTTGTTTTAACTATATATAATTTTTATATTTTTAATTATTATCATTAAAAATGTATATGGCACGCAAGTAATTTTTAAAAATTACATTTGGCCCTTTCTAAAATCCTAGTGAGGACCGCTACTGTAAAGGAAGTCATAATGTGTTGGTCAAATTTAGTTTTGAAGTTTTGGATACGTATTTGAAGTCCGAGACCCATCCAAGGTGATTTACATAACAATAGTCGAGGGATGTTTTTGATTTGAATTGTCCGAGCGAGTGCAGCAAGTAACGCAGGGTGTATATTAAGAAAATACTATATTATATAGGTATAAATTAGCTATAACTTTAAAACTAAATCTGACCTCACCATCGTTTTCGCATGTTTAACTACATAGGTCATAGACGTTAAAACAAGATAATCATAGCACTGATTACGATGTGTAAATAAATAGTATTTTGATCAAGTCAGGAAAATTCCCTTACTCACCATAATTCTTAACTCTAGTTAAAATACGTAATAAAAAAATCAAAATTCATTATAGGTTCTGCGTGAGGCAGTAAAGTACTGCACTACCGAAGTGTTGAGCGCATATTATGTATAAACGTAAAATTTTTTTTTGCACCATCGTTCTTAAGTTGTGTAAATAGTAAATACGTATGTTTCAAAAAAAAAAGCTGGGTATCTAAAGTGAATTTGTTCTGAAACTCTAATTTTCTGTATAAAGCTTGTTCATCAAATACATCAGTATTCACTATTCAGTACCTATATAAATTAAATATATTTGTCTTTATCAGTAATTTTTATAATCATTTCATATGATTATTACACAGGTTCTATACTACACTAGTATACAGAAATCTGAAAAATGTATGAGGGAATCTTGTATTACATATTAAAACATGTTTATTGTAATTTGATTGCATGTAGGTTTGATATTTGGTCAAAAATAAGACATATCGAACAAATTACGGGGGGGGGAGGCGTCCGGACCCCCTAGATCCCCTCAGATACGGCCTTGCTAAGTAATAACCAATAACTCTTTATTGCTTGGACTTCATAATAGTTTAGATCAGGGGTGTCCAAACTACGGCCCGCGAACAAGTTTTAAGCGGCCCCTGGGCGTATTAGGAAACCCAGGACGCCACAGAGCGTCTTATGTATACCACGTTCTCATTGGCCCATTTCAAATTGCCCGCTTATTTTTTATCATTTATCCAATAATTTAATTTAATTTAATAATATAATATTAATTTAAATATTATATTATATTATTTAATTTAAACAAATTAAAATAACTATTTAGTAGGAAAAGGTACCTAATACTAATATTAAACAATATTATTATGTTATTATAATTCAATAAATTAATGTAGAATGTGATCTCTATTCTCTACACAGTTATTTTTATTTTTTACTTTAGTTGGTACCTATATACCTACCTCAGAGTGAACATTTCTTACTGGACTAAGTGTATTGTACTTGTACACACCTTTTGTGTTACCTAAAAAGATTGTCTAGGTTCTTCCTAACATAGAAACAAAATACCAATCTTACTTAAATGTTTTATTTTTACTAAAACATAAAATTCTTAATTAAAATAGGTAGGTACCTTACTAAAATGTCATGCTCTAACATTAATATATGTATTGTATTTTTAATAAAGACATAACTATTTTTAGAGGAACGAATTGAACTAGTGTTCAGTGATTATTTTAATAATATTTGGAATGGTAGCTACTATGAAGCTAACGGTTTAAAAATCCAATTAAAGAAATTGTTGTAACTTCACATGAATGGTGCAAAAACAATTTCGGACGTCTAGTTTGGTAGTCTAGTTCATCGATGACTGAAAAGCCCTGTTATTATTTTCAATTTTAGGTATATTATTTTGTAGGTACACTACATTACTACCTACATCAGCAGTGGTTTATAAATAATATTTTTTTACATATTTATAATTTAACTAATTCAACCTTTTTAAAATGTTCATAGGCGCAATTTTGGGGGTGCTTAGCACCCCCAAAATTTTGATAGCATCATCGAATTTTTATTGACTATAAAATTATGTTATAGGTATTTGGATACAATTATTTCTAAGACACCTACCTATTCATAATAATAATGAATAATGATACATAAGTATCAGAATAATAATATAGGTAAAAGTGTATTTATTTGTATTAAGTTTAATGAGAAGGTGTATAAAATAAAGTTGTATGAATGGAAGGGGATGTGTGGGGCAAACCCCCATTTATTTCGAGATAAATCTATCACCCCCATAACTCATAAGTTCAACCCAAATTGCGCCTATGAAAATGTTATGCAAGTATTAAGTAAACAAAATATATTAAGGTAGGTAAAAATTAATACATTCATGTCTACTTACATAGTCAGAGGTAGGTAGGGGTTACACGATCATTGAAAATATATAAATATTAGACAAAAAAAAAAAAAATTTACAAACATTTAAAACTGTGAACATATTTTAAAGTATTTTTTTTTACTATGATGACTACCTCGCATGTTAAATTTCTGTCAGTTGGGCTCTGAATGTGATTTAATTGTCCTGAATGTACAACATGACTCCCTAAATAACAAAAATCTACTAACAAAAACAAAATTCAAAAATTTGACC